AGAGGGCAATGTGATATAAAAACCCTCCTCTTGTCTCAGATCCATTTTTTTATTGTATCTGTTTTTTAAACGTCGTGCAGGTCTGAGGCTTTAATCCAACTGGAAAATTTTTGAGGCCATCCAAGCCATTTAACAAACACTTGCTTCTGGCCTCTGTAAGTTCTGCGCTTTAAAATTTTTTCAACGTGGAAGGATCGTTCGGTCGATAAGTTTACTTTCTGCAATTCGGGTTCATAAAATGACCCTTCAATTTTTTCCCCATCAAAATATTTGAGTTTATAAACCGGCGGTGCTCGATGAAGACACTGGTCTACTGTGAACAGCTCGTGCGTGAAACTCTGCTCATATTTTTTATCAAAAACACCTCTGAGTTTGGAAATTCTCACAACGTCACCCCTGTTAAACTTCATTTTCTTTGCAGGCTTCGGTGCGGTGGTCCCGTAAAGGTTGCGAAACACTTGCCATTGATTTTCCGTGTTAACTTCAAAGGGGGCCATTTTGATAGAAGTGTGGTAGCTATGATTATAACCTTTCACCAAATCTTGAATCACATCTATGTAGCGATGGGTGTTTTTGGCTGTGAAATATCTCCACATTCTACCTTTTAGAGTCCTGTTAAATCTCTCCACAACGCTGGCCTTTACGCTGCTGGCTGTGGCAAAATGCACAATTTCGTGTTTCTTCATGAGGGCTTCAAATTTCTTATTAAAAAATTCTTTACCGGAATCCGTTTGCAATTTTTTAGGGACACCGCTGTCTTTCAAAACTGAAGCAAAAGCTTCTGTAACATCTTTCCCCGATTTGTTTTTCAGGGCTCGTACATAGGCTTTCTTTGAAAATACATCTATGACGGTTAATAGGTAATTAAAGCCGTCGTTTGATTTTGACAAGGCCTGCATGTCGCATAAGTCAGCTTGAAACTGTTTTAGCGGCCCTGAGACAAAAACCTTATTTCTCGGAAAATGAACTCTTGCAGGTTTGTGAAGTGTATAGGCGTCTTGTTCTGAGAGAAAATCGCGAGCCTTATCCGATGAAACTTTCTCCCCAATATCTTGTTGTAAACCGGTTCTAAACCTTTCCACACCACCGTAACTACCCTGATGTTCTGGTGTAAAATAAACCTTTTTCATTACCTCCTCCATCTCTGATGAATGGTTGGCAAAAATGATGCATAATTGTTTTCATTAGTTCTTTTTATTTCATAAATTGTACACACAATCTAATCAGAACTAAAATCTAATGACGCTACCGTCAGAAATAAAATCTAATCATACTGTAAAAAACAGCAGTCATCAAATATAATCACACAGTCTAATCATACTGTAAAAACAGCAGTCATCAAATATAATCACACAGTCTAATCATACTGTAAAAAACAGTCATCAAATATAATGAATAAAATCACACAGTCTACAAATATAATCTAAACACTAGTCAGAACTAAAATCTAATCATACTGTCGTCAAATATAATAATAAAGTTGTAGAAGAGACCCTCCGCAGCTCGCTCACTCCATCACCACCCCGGACAGCGCGTCCAGGTCAGCTTTGGACAGGCGATCGTACACCGGAAAAATGTCTTTGTGAATGGGCATCACAGCCCTGAATCCGTGCAGCTGCGTCACAGCCATGGTGAACAGAATCTCAGTGTCCAGAGGCTGGAAGCCGTGCAGACTGAGAAAACTTTGAAGAGCCGGAATCAGTTTAGGTGTTAAAACCCTGCGAATAATGTCCGTAAAGTGAAAATCGTAAAATCATTCATTTTCAGCTACGTAAAGACATTCGTGTTGCCGTTGACTGGGGTGATCGATCTTGCATCCGTGGCAGATGGTTGGTAAGTGAGCTTTGATCGCCATGTTGACCAAGTGAAGAAGACCCATTTTCACACGGTCTACTTTGTCTTCTGAAAACACCCAGTCAGGCAGACGGTGAGGCTCCTCATCGGTGCTCTGGATGTCGAGGGGTTGCACATCCTCCTCCTCCTCATGACCTGGCGGCGGCTCAGGGTTTGATGTCACCAAAGGCGGATCAGCCCCATCGACCCAGGGCCTGAATGGTACGTTCTCCGGAACCTCCATGATGGTGGGGAGTCGTGGTAGGTTATCCTCTGGAAAACACGATGGTGCCGATGCGGGCCTCGGACTGCCGTTGTATCTCGGCGGTGGTGGTGATGGTAGCGATCTGGACCTCGGACTGGTGTTGTATCTCGGTGGTGATGAATCCGTTAGTACCCAGCTCGGTGGTGGGCTCCAAAGGTCTTTAAGGGTCGTCTGATTGTAGAACCCCGTCATGCTGATGCCTTAGATCGTCTGGATGAAATGGTTTCTAACTGTAAGCTCTTTATAACTAGTGCTGGGTGGGGGGCGTGGTATGATGATGCAACCTCCTCCTCCTCCTCCTCCTAAGGCAGGTCTTAGAACTCCAGCTTTTTTCGCACTGTCAGAATGTCGTTCCAACAGCGGCTGGTACGAAAAAATGAAGTAATACGATCCTCCACTTCATTTATTTTTTCACACCAGGCTTCGAAAGGTACAACCTGTAGAAGGCGGTAAATTCCGCATACAGAATGCACATTCTCCAGCACAAAAAAGAGCTCAAATCCTCTCACACGGACCGAGGCCTTGAACATCCACTCTCCATCAGCATCCTCTTCCCCCTCCCATGAAGCGCTGAATGCTGTCACAGCGTTCTGGATTTCATCCAACGTTGGAAGAGCTTGCGGCCCGCTGCGATTGACAGGCGGACGAGGTCTCTCAGGATCATCTCTGTGCACCTTGCGTGGAACAGCCAGCCTGAGCACAGCCCAATCGTTGTAGGAGAGAACCGCTGGTGAGTTTGATAAATAGGATTTAAGAGGTTCGCCCTCAGCCACATCTTGGATTAAACACAGTTCCTTAGTGTCGTAGCTGAACCGGTACCCAAAACTACCGGAATAGCCGTAAGGTTCCAACTGCCATATTTGCTCCAAGATCTCTTTACCGCCGAAAGGAGGAACCTGCACTCTGCAGATGTAAAATGTAGATTTGCGGGGGGCACCAATTCCAGCCGGCATCTGATGTATAGCGATGGATTTTTCACAAAGCATGGTTTTTGACAGCGGCGTATCCACGCTCTCTTCTTTCACTTTTTGAGTTGAAGTTGAAGCGTCGGATGTAGTAGGCACCTCTTCAGCGCGGCTTGGTGCTTCATTCAGCTCCTCGTGGTTCATCATTTTTTCTTAGAGCTCGGCTTTTCACCATTCGGACAGATCTGAGCTTTTAAAGAGTTATACACAATAGGATTACACTCAGAAGGGAGGGGGGCTGTGGGAACCGATGGGTAACACAATAAGAAACTTCACACGCCATTACACACATTAGCCTATGACGTGGGGAATCATGGACATCTGGACACGTTCAACAATACGCCATTGATGATGCGGCGTGGGGGGTCTAGGCCATCTGGACGATCAACAATACACATGTCCATTTGATTAATGATACGGAAGGGGGGGGCAAAGATTGAACAATACACCTGTCCATTTGATTAATGATAGGAAGGGGGGGCAAGGTCAAGGGTCAAATGAACAATAGGACTGAAAGGTCAAAAAGGTCAAAGAACAATAGACCTGTCAAAAAGTTTGACGAAAGGTGTCTTATAATTCTCTCTCCTGTTAGTTATATGGGTGTGACCACAAATGACACAAACGATAAAGGTGTATTGACAGGTGCTTTCGGGAGATAATTAAACATGGGTGGCAGGGTGAGCGGACAGTTTTTTACCGCTCGCCACACCATGATGCAAAGTTTTTATTCTTTATAATTCTGTTTGTACTTCTAAAGCAACAGCACAATAATATAAAGGCAGCACACGTAAAATAAATAAGATCATCAAAGCAAGATAACGTTTGGAAATGTTATGGAAGCATGTCAAAAAACACCTCTCCGCCTGCACCCAGCTGAGTGACCTACAAGTAAGTCACTACAAACATTTTGATGGCAAAAATTACACATTGTTTCTTTAAAAACCTATGCCTATGCCACATTACCGCTTTTATTCTGGGTGGGTTGTTACCCCTTGCATGGGTAACAATGCAAAATTAAAAGATAAAATTTTAATATACAAGGGAACCCTTAACTTATAGCATCACACATGACTATAGTTTAGATGGGAAAAAAAATAGGCTTGTAGGAAAAAAAATTGATACAATGAAATATTACTGAAAAAATATTTTAAAGGCGTTAATTGATTTTTTTTTAAATGAGAATTTACATGGAAACATTTAGTCTTTATCTTGTGTGGTGCAATTCTATCTCCAACTGCTAGGTGGCAGTATTTTACCGCCTTGATTGTGATGGATCAACAAGATCTTGTGATAGCACTGAATCTGTCTTTAAAGTGTCCGTCCAGAGTTTTCCATTTAATTTCAGTCCTAAAAATTGCAAATTTTGGCTGACATTTAGTGTGGCATTATATCATAATGCCTCCCCTGAATTGTGATAAATATTGTATTGCCAAATTATTTCCGATACATACCCTTAGTAAAAGTTGCCTGATTTGTTTAGCAATGGATGAACATTAGCCACACTTGTGTTACTTAAATGTTTATAGTACTGTGATAGTCAAACATGTCTGAGCAAGCTTTTTTTTCCGTTGTAAGGATATCTGGGTGTGTCAGTTAACTCTACATGCTTTTCACTCAGCTGTCTAATAACCACTTCTCTGACTAATGCATTAATATCTTAAAGTTGGTGGCGCACACATTTGTGTGAATGAGTTGCTTTACCACATTTCTCTTGCCTAAAGCTCCTGAAAAATCTCTGTTAGCTTGAGTTAGCATGTAGCTAATCTCTCGCTGATCTCCGACTGCGGCGGAGCATGACCTCAGCCTCATACGGAAGCCAAGCAGCCGCGCGTCAGCTACCCCGGAGACTCTTCTTAGCTTCTTGGGTTAACGAAGTTAGCTAGTAGCTATATTAGTTCATTTGTTGAACACTGTTCCAACTGTAACAGTGACACCCTCAGCTCCACTTCTTTAGATTGTCTGGGTGTGACAAGACATGTGACACTGCCAAAATGGCGGTCGTGGAAACCTCCTATTTGTCATCAAATCTATATGACTCGAGGACATTTGATGGACATTATTTGTCCAATATACTGTACATGTTGATGGTTTTAATGGCTTTTGCTAAGAAGATAGCCATTTTTATCTTGCTAAAGAGTCTCAGTTATTCCCAAAAATGTTGTATGTGCATTTTGATGTAATACATAGTAAATAAACCAGAGCAGGATCAAATTTTTATATAGTTGGTAGGCCTATATATCATAACGGGCGATCATGTTCTGTTTAAACTTATTCAGCAGTTATTTCTGAAGGAACTTATTTGAGCAGTAAAGACATCCTTGCAGCTTTGAGTACTTTGTATTTACTGCCAAATTGCTGATACATTGCAGTGAGCACACATTTTGTAAGCCTCAGCATATCATAAGAATTAAGACCTAGAAACTTAATGGGTAATGTGTCTTTGTAAGATTTCAGTACATTTCTTTATTAATTTGTCTGTGTATTTGCTCATCTGTTGGTGTCAAACCAACACAAACACCCCTCCTATTTTTGTGTTTAGGTTGGGTAGACACTGGGGAGCTGTCTTATACCCACAGATATCCCCATCAGATCTTATCCTCTGTGCAGGAAAACAATCATACATTCAGAGGTAGGACAGGCTCCGTCTGTGGAATACCAATGCAGGAATAGGGCATCTGCAAGACAAGCTCGGAAAGGCTCAAGGAAAAGGGCCTGGGGGTGAATAGAAAAAATACAATTAGTAAGACTTGGAGGAATTGTCTCAGAGGAATGAGAGGAGCTAGATGTCTTTGGGATGAATTGTGAGAGGCTGCACAAGAAGAGGTTAAAGAAAATGTTCCAGGAAAAACAGTTTAGCCCACAAACCGGGTAAAAAGTGACTGTGGTAACTCAGTGAGAAGTAGATTAATTGTACTAATATCTTCAAGTACACATTATTAAGAATGTTACACTGCTCTCTTGAGTTCCCTTGAAAATGACACAATTCACACAGCTGGTGTCCACATTAGCATAGTCTCAGCCCAGTTGTATGAGGTAATCCCTGCTGAAAAACTAGCATAGACCAGCATAGCTGGATACCAGCATAGTTGTGTTTTGCTGGTAACCAGCTATGCTGTCATGTTTTAGTGGTCAAAGATTATTGACAATACCTTTAAATTGCTTTACAGTTTTTGTCTGATGTACCCATTAGCCTAGAAATCTAGACAGACATGAGCCACAGCAAAATTATTTTATTCTGCATGTTGGGCTTGCCACGCTTCATAGGAGCCTCAGCAGGCCAGACCAGTCTTGTGGCTTGTCAATCACAGTGCTTTATTAAAATCATTTGCTGGTTGCCTGTGGGTCCCGGGTCACTGGGTTCTGGGCTCGGCCGGCTTGGGTGCGGGAGACTGCGGGTGGGCCTGTGGGCTTGCCGCTGATATCTCCTCGGACTGTTGCCGGCTACTGGTTGTGACCCCCCGGGGCAATCGTCTGTGCCTCTCGAGAGGGGGCTAGGGCTTTTCTGCTTACAGTCTCCCTGGGGTCCTGCGCTCTGGGGCAGCCCCTGGATCTCTGGGACTTGGCGCTCCCTCCATCTCCTACACATCTTTGGGGGCAGATCTGTGGCCCCTCACACTCTCTATTAGACACTTCTATAGAGAAACCTTACATATACAAGCGTGTGAACGCACACAGGTGCTCACATGGTGCTCTCAAAAGTATGGGCTTGGGCACGTTCAACACGTCTTAAGGCTGTCGTTGCCACTAAATGCTCACTCCTCACCCCTGCCACATGGACCCAAAGAATAAACCATCAAACCTGCTCAATGGTCAACTTTTCTCGCGGGGTCACACTCTTTGGGACAGTGGGAGGTTTATAAACTGGTCTGATGAGTCCAGATGGACTCTGTTCAGAATCAGAATCAGAAAAGCTTTATTGCCAGCACTCCAGCGACCCAGAGCATAGGAACTTGACTCCGCAGCACAGCCTGACCAAGGTTACACACACATGTAGACAAAACTGATACAGGCAGACCACGAGAGCAGCCATAAGGGCACTTATTCCGGAGTGATGGTGCATCAGGGTAAGAAAAGAGGCAGATGAAGTGATGCACCCATCATGCCGAGTACCTACTGTACAAGCCTGTGGGGGCAGTGCTATGATCTGGGGTTACCATCATCAATGTAATATCTTGGTGAAAAATTAATGCAACACTGGATAGGAATAAAGCTTGTGTCATTGCAGAAGCTTATTGAAACAACGCCACAGCGAATGTGTGCCGTAATCAAAACTAAAGGTGGTCCAATAAAATAGTAGAAAAAAATGATGCTCCTGCTTGAGACCAGGAAACCTGGTGGCTCTACCCAGTAGGTTTCTTTGTGAGCCAGAGTTCTTAGTAAATCCACACTGCAAATGATTTTTTGGATAATTTATGTCAACGTGACTGTGAGATCATTTCATGTTGAAGAAACGATGCAACTTAAACTATTTAGAGAAATCTGAAAATAACTTTTGTGTTTGATCCCTTGTTTGTACTCATGTTGTTGTGACAACGGCTCAGCTACTTTGACACCTGATTCTAGCTGGTGTCTATACACCTGATCAACTTATAGCCAATGCAATTTTCATACATTGCAGATTTATACATTCACTCTTAACGCTCTGGTTGAGATTTGAGGGGAAGACGTGGTTAGAGGAACCCTTTCAGGCATCTGGTAAGCCCTAAATGTGAAGCCTTGTCTGTTCATCCACAGCTGGCATCAATAAGGCTGGTTCGGTCCTCAAGAGCTCCTCAGCAGCCAAAACCAGAAGCCTATGTGTACAGAGCAGTCTGGAATAGCTGAAAAAGTCTGAACGTGAGAGTGGGAATCAAATAACATCTGGAAAAGGGTAAATCATGCTGGAAACCTTTGCCTGTGTACGTAAACTCTGCTCATTTTAGCCATCAGGGTCTGTTTGTGTCTCCTGTTTCAGGCGATTGGAGAACCTCAGGTCAGCCAAAACACTGCAAGCCTTTTAAGGTAATTTACAGTATTATGCTCATCTAATAGCCAGCTTAAACCCTAATCGTGTATTCTAATTCCTGGCTTAGGGTGCCTTTGGATTAGAAGACCATGTAATGTAAAGTTAATCCCATATACACTGCACTGAAAATCCGCGAACAAGCGTTTCTCATCATCAGAAAATTTGCCTCTAATTATGTCTCTGGAGAGGAGCTCCATTCACTCTCAAAGCGAGTTGGTCCATTCAGGACTGCCGGGGCCACATGCACGTGGAATACAGAGTACATGGACTACTGCTTTCACATCCATATTCATAAGTTCTAGCTCATTGATGCCCTCTTACATGTTCTTACGTGTTTTTTTTTATGCTGGCAACATAATTAAACCCTAATATACCTTTTTATACCCAGCACATCTTCCTGAACCAGTGTGAATTAGTCCACCTTAAGAGCATTGTGTGTCAAAAAATCTCACAAATGCTAGTTAAAATCCAAACAGATGGGATTTTTATATTCATCATAAATGTGTTTTTCTATGTTTACTAAAATATTAATAACTGATTAATTATAAGAAAAAGGGAAAGCAGCAAGCCAAAGACAGAGAAGGATCGAGGCCACACAGATCAGACGGAATGCAAAGAGGCATAAAAATAAGGCAGGACTTGGTTTCGTCTACTCTCCAAGCCTGCAGATTCTCCTCCGAGATCGATGATTGCTCTGCCCTTTTCAAAGCTTCTGCCCGTTGTCTCATTTCTCACTGCCTTTCTTTGGTCAAATCTAGAAATAAGCCTTCGATTTCACCACCTCTCTTTTCAGATGCATGATGTTCTCGTGTCACTTTATGGAGCTTTTTAAGAAACCATTCCATTTGTGATCTGATCCTTTCATCTGTAAGCATTACATCAACTTTTAGACAATTGCATGGTAATCATAAATCAGCCTAATGGGGCAGGCGTGTGAGAGCTAAAGCACCTTTTAATCCAGATCTCTAATGACAGAATCTCCTGCTGCCAAGCCAACAGTGTGCAGGTGCCCAGCACGTCTCCTTCTCCTTGCACACTGTGCACTTCTGGTTACCGCGCTCTTCTAGCAAGTCCTTAAAGTATTTTTCTTACTTGGGGTAAATAAATCTTCTCCTTCAGGTGCAGTTTTAATGGGGCACTCATCCATTTAAAGATGCCACGTTTGAAAGCTGAGCTGCTCAGGGAAAAGGCCCAAAAACATCATTTTGGTGATGCATGGGACTTTAAAGGTTTTTGTACGTTAAGCTGCGGTAAAGTCAGGGATTTAGCTGCATGTTTTTAAGTCGGCAGTGAGGGTTTTTACTTTTTTTGAGACACTGGAAGCATTTTGTGGATCAGCGCTTTAAATTTTGATTGAGGCAATAATATTTGTTTCACACAAAGCAGCAGACACTTTAATGTCTGTGGCAGCAGAATAAAATGGATGGAACGCACGTGGTTTGGAAGAAACAGCAGATTTAGCTTTTAAATAATTGAAAAGTCATTTTGCACAGGAGGTAGATCAGTGTGTGTGGTACAGGAGCACTAGCCGTCAGCATATAGATGCAGAATTAAATCTCACTGCCCTAGTAAGCCACTGAGTCAATGAAGGGTGAAGCCACATCTGCTAATGTCACAAACTAGAAGATACGTTTAGGAAGGGTCTGGTGCATCTAATGACCAAAAACAAGCATCACTTTAGTTTTCAATTAAACACAATATCTATATTTTGATTAATGAACTGTTCAAAAAGTATAAATAAAACAAACAAACAACAAAGACGGTGACAGATTGTTTGAAACAACTTTGACATCAACTCTAGTCTTTTCTTTGAGTCAAGAGCAGATAGAGGTACTTAAGTCCTTCACTTAGAAAACTTATGAATTTGGTCTTCAACAGAGTATGCTGAACCTGATAACTGACATTCATAACGGTGTGTACATCACACTGTCCATCAGCATGTGGAGACAGTTGAATAACAACCCTAGAGCCCGCCCCACGACTGAGCTTTGTCTGTGGGTCATGGCCAGACTATGACCCAATCCCGATACTCGCACTGCAGTCTGTAGCGAAGTGCATTTGGAGGAAGTGCGCAGTAGTGTAGTGTAGTGCATAAGTGTACAGATAGTTGCAGAATTGGGACAGTGACCATTGCATCATCGACCACGATGCATGCTTGGATGCTGCTCGCTGTGCTACTTAAAAAAAAACTTTAATAACAACTTTCAAACAAGTATTGACAACATTTACATTCATTGCTGTTCACATGAAATGTTCATCTAAATTATTCCGAGCATTAACAAATGTCATCTTAAAATGAACTTTCGTTTTAAAGTACATATTTTCAGAAAAGGGTACTTGAGCCATCATTCTGCCTTCTGTTCAAAATCCCCACACAGCAATGGATTGCGGGTAATACACTTTCCTCAAGTCCGCATCAATGCAGATTTGGGGAAAGTGCAGATCTAAGGTGCAAAAGAGGCATGGTCAACTTCCGCACTTGAGAATTGGGACACCACACACACTCGCACCCCTGGCCTGGAACACACAATGAAAGGGCGCGAGGGTGGAAGTGCGAGTATTGGGATTGGGCCTTTGTATTCACATGTAAGGAATGTTTGCCAGACTAGAAAACACCACAATTAATAACATTTTATTCCTAACAGCTGTTTGTTTGGAGGAATAGTCAGGGTAGTAGTAACAATGCACTGGCACCATTGATGAGGTAAAACTGTTCCTGCTCACCACTTCCCTTAAAGTGGATCTGATCTGAAAAACCTCCACATCTTTGGTGCTAAACAGATTTAGATTCCTTCAGCTACTTTAAAACCCAGTGATGTCTTCTGTACCCTGTTTGCTCAGTGAATTCCCAAAAGTCAATATTTGAGGGTCAGTGAAGAATATTTGGACTTCATCATTAATGCATATGCATTTCCTGACATTTCACAATGCACAGGCAGCTGCTTTGAATTTTCCCAGGCTGCCAGATTGGCACAGATCCTATCACGGGTCGGATCTGTTTACCCTTCCTCACACTGGTGCCTTAAATCGTTTCTGATCTAGATTGATAATGAGTGAGTGCAAATTCCCACACTGAATCTGAAACATATTCCATTGTTTAAATGAAAAAAAAAAAAAAAATCACGAACGATCATTCAGTGAACGCGTTCGGGCAAAACACTGGTGATAGTTTCTTGTCCGTTACAACAGAGCGAGGTATTTGTGGAAACAAATCCAATAACAGGGTTGCTTTCAGATCCTTAACTGTAAAAACTAGTAGTTTTAAAAAAGTATAAAAACATATTCGCTATGAGGTATTACTCGTGGGGAGTTAGCTCAAATTGTACTGGGTGTCAAATAATTTGGACTAGGAAATAAGAGTTAACTTAGGTGGTGACAGGTTCACATTTACCCCTAATTAAGTTTAAACCTTTTGGGGGTAACGTCCTGAGAATTCGTTTTATTAAAGCAAGTTTCCCCCTGGACCTGAGAGGCAGGTGTTGTCTAAGGTGCAGATGAAGTTTCACCTGCCTTCTTACGTTTCCTTACTCCAGATTTTTCTGTTTTGGGAGACAATTTAGTTCTGCTCTTGTTCAGGTCTTTTAGAGCGTTTAATTCAGCTTTACGTTTACTGATTTCTCTAACAGATGCCTGTTTCTGCTCAGAGCTCAGAGGTTCACTAGTAGAACCCTCTTCCATCGGCTGAACCAGCATCTCAACATCGCTGGTCCTAACTGATTACTCTGTTCAGTAATGATGCTTAACTCCCGTAGATTGGTCTCATTTGTGTCAGATTGTAACTTTTGTCTGGGAATTTTCTCAGTCTTTGATATTTAAGCAACTAGCTCCCTGGAGCTGAGAGGCAGGCGTTGTTGCCTCAGGTCCCCCTCCGCTTCCGGTTGGTAACAAGATGGCGCCTGTGCTTGGCTTAGCCACAGTCACCGGCCACTTTTTCAAACTTTTCTCCCCTAACCTCCTCTTTTTCACCTTGCTCCTGTCTGCGATCCTCTTCAGTAGTGTCCCTGCTACCATCTCCTATGATCGCCAGACTCTTTTGTCCTTCCGTTCATTCACAATCGCCCAAGATGCACCGAGGACATACCTCCCTGTTTGTTTATCTGAGTGGCGCACTGGCTTGGAGCCAAACAACGATTTTAACCAGGGCGCCTCCAGCGATGTTTATCCAGTCCCGGGAAAACGTTGGAGGAAAAGAGGTAAACGAGCAGGAAACCAGGTGAGAATGAGGCTTCTCTTAAAGCGTGGTTTATCTACTAAACATCGACATGATCTTCTAGCTTCTTGTCCTTTGTTTGAAGAAGAAGAAGAAAATATCATTTCTATAGCACCTCTCAAGATAAAAATCATGAGGTGCTTCACAAAAAAAAGTTAAAATATAAAAAAGAATTTAGAAAATGGTTAAAAATATATTTAAACTGAGCAAAAAATAGACAATTGTGATTAAAAAATGTTAAGAAAGAGAGAGAGTGAATAGGAAAGAGGGAAATCAGTGGATCCTGAGGAAGGTGGAATAGGTGGGGAGAGCAGAATAAAGAGAGTGTGGTGAAGAAGGTCATACAAAAGCCAGCTTGAGCAAGTGAGTTTTCGGCTACTTTTTAAAGGAGAACACTGAGTCCACTGATCTCAGGCTCAGGGGGAGAGAGTTCCAGAGTCTGGGGGCCACAGCAGCAAATGATCTGTCACCTTTGGTCTTTAGCCTGGTGCGCTGCACAACCAGTAGGCTTTGATCACTGGACCTCAGGGACCTGCTGGGGGTGTAGGGACTAAGAAGATCACCCATGTAAGATGGTACTTGTCCATGTAAGGCCCTATAGACTAGAACCAGGATCTTGAAATTAACCCTGAAGTTGACTGGCAGCCAGTGAAGCTGGAGGAGAAGCGGGGTGATTTGGGTGTGTTTGGAGGAATAGGTTAGAAGCCGAGCACAGACATTCTGAACCACCTGTAGACGGTTCAGGGAGGTTCTGCTCAGACACGTGAAAAGAGAGTTACAGTAATCTAAGCGTGAGGCTATGAAGGTGTGAGGCGATGAAGGTGTGGATAACTGTCTTAAGTTCAGAGCGGGACAGAATGGGACTCAGCTTAGCAATGTTCCTGAGATGGAAGAAGGAAGAGCGAACAAGAGAACTGACATGAGAATCCAGGGTGAGAGCTGGGTCAAAGGTCATGCCAAGATTCCTGACGGAAGGTTTTGTGTGAGAAGCAAGCTGACCAAGAGAGTCTCTGACTTTGGGAACCAGCTTGTCTGGGGCACAGATGAGGATTTCAGTCTTATCTTCATTCAGCTGTAGAAGGTTCCCAGCCATCCAGGTTTTGATAGAATCTAAGCAGGTGTGTAACAGCTGCAGCATAGATATCTCATGGGGCTTAAAGGAGATGTACTGTTGGATGTCATCTGCATAAAGATGGTAGGAGATTCCTTTGAAGGAGCTCAGGATGTGCTGAAGAGGGAGCAGATAGAGGAGGAAGAGCAGAGGCCCCAGCACAGAACCTTGTGGGTCACCATGGGTAAGGGAGGTGGTGAAGGTCCTAAACTTGGAGACGGCCACAGAAAAGGAGCGCTCAGAAAGATAAGAGGAGGACCACTCCAGAGCAGTTCCTGATAGGCCTACCCAGCCTAACTCTTCCTCCTGTGGAACAGTGCTGCTCTGGGTGGCTGCATGTTGGAGTAGCTCTGTTGACTATATGTAAGTTTTACCTTTTCTTGGACATTTTTTCTTCTAGTTTCTCAAGAAAAACTGTATTTTTTAGACATTTTACTTTTCTGTTTCTGGTGCTGTGAAGCTTGGAGGATTTTTACTACTATATTTTCACCTTTTTCACTTTTTGAGCATTTGTTATTATGTTTAACGATGGCAACAAGCTGGTTTACAATCGGGAGCAGCTGATTAACATTGGGAAGGCTGAAATAATAAGTCAACTGAAGCCACAAATCCCAAATGAGCTAAAATGCAGGAAGCGTGGGTGCAGAGCAGGAGCAAAACAGAGACAGAGAAAGAGGAAATTCAAACCATCTCTTCCATCGATCATTATGGGCAATGTGAGATCGCTGGCCAACAAGATGGATGAACTTCAAGCCCTTTCAAGGACTCAGCTAGAGTATCGGCAGTGCAGTGTTATGTGTTTCACGGAGACGTGGCTGCAGGACCATATCCCCGATTCCAGCGTCTCTCTGCCAGGATTCCTGACTGTACGAGCAGACAGAGATCTGAAGAGGAGCGGGAAAAGAAAAGGAGGTGGAGTGGCAGTGCTTGTCAACAACAGATGGTGCCATCCATGTCATGTTTCAGTGAAATGTCGTCGCTGCAGCCCAGATGTTGAACTCTTGGCAGTAAGTTGTCGCCCATATTATTTGCCAAGAGAGTTCACCAGTGTTGTCTTGGCAACCATTTATATTCCACCTTCAGCTATTGCTGAAAATGCATGTGATGCCATCAGTTCCGTTGTCGCTAAGCTACAGACCCAGCACCCCAATGCATTTGTGGCTATATCTGGTGATTTTAATCATGCCTCGCTCTCTGCTACACTTCCAACATTTCAACAGTTTGTCAGCTGCTCCACCAGAGAAAACAAGACATTGGATTTGTGTTGTACAAATGGAAAAAATGCACATATGTCCAAAACAAGACCTCCTCTGGGACAATCAGATCACAATCTTGTTTTTCTCTGCTCAGAATCCAAACCACTTGTTCAGAGGCAACCTGTGTCAAGAAGAACTGTGAGAAAATGGTCACAAGATGCTGAAGAAGCCCTGCAGGTTGTTTTGAGACCACCGATTGGATGACTCTCTGCCAAGGATATGAAGAAGACATCAATGCCATGACTGGATGTGTCACTGACTATATAAACTTCTGTGTGGACAATATCATACCCACCAGAACAGTGAGATGCTTTGCTAATAACAAACCCTGGATCACCAGTGAACTGAAGACTCTGCTAAATGAAAAAAAAAGAGCATTCAAAGAGGGAGACAGGGAATTATTGAGGAGTATACAGAAGCAAAACTGAAGATCAAGATCAGAGACAGCAAGGAGGCATACAGGAAGAAGCTGGAGAAAAAACTACAGAGGAACAATATCAGAGATGTATGGTCAGGGATGAAGAAGACCACAGGCTTCAAGCAGAGGAAGGACTGCACAGATGGCAGCCTGGACACAGCCAATGAACTGAACAAGTTCTTCAATAGATTCAGTTCAGGAACAATCCCAGCATCCTCCTCGTCTGTCCCCAGCCAATCAGACATCCCATCCTCCTCTGATCCAACATTTTCCTGTCACACGCCAGCTCTTTTGTCCTCTAACGCAGTAATGGACTCTTCTGGTTCTACAAATCTGTCTTCAACCAAGCCAGGAGATGCTGCTGCCCCATTTACACCCCCCCCCCTCCCCCCATCTATCTGTCTCTAGAAGTCAGGTGAAGAGGCGGCTGGAGAGACTGAACAGGAACAAGGCTGCAGGTCCAGATGGTGTCAGCCCCAGGGTACTGAGGGCCTGTGCAGAGCAGCTCTGTGGGATTCTGCAGCACCTCTTCAACCTCAGCCTGGCCCAGGAGAAGGTTCCAGTCCTGTGGAAGACATCCTGCCTTGTTCCAGTTCCAAAGAAAACTCGCCCATCAGTCAATGACGACTACAGACCAGTTGCCCTGACATCCCACATCATGAAAGTCCTGGAGAGACTCCTGTTGGTCCACCTGAATAAACAAACTAGAACATATCAGGACCCGCTGCAGTTTGCTTATTGCCATGGAGTTGGAGTTGAAGATGCCATCATCCAGCTGCTTCAACCAATCCACTGTCATCTGGTCAAAGCAGGCAGCACTGTGAGGGTCATGCTCTTTGATTTCTCCAGTGCATTTAACACAATTCAGCCTGATTGACTTTGCCAGAAACTCCAGAAGACACAGGTGGGGGCCTCAATTATTGCCTGGATTAAAGACTACCTGACAAACAGACCACAGTTTGTGAGGCTGAAGAACTGCACATCAAACCAGGTGATCAGTAACATTGGATCACCACAGGGGACAATACTCTCACCATTTCGTTTCACCCTGTACACCTCAGACTTCCAGTACAAATCAGAGACCTGTCATCTACAGAAATACTCAGATGACTCTGCAGTTGTCGGGTGTATCAGAGATGGACAGGAAGCTGAGTACAGAGAGCTGGTGGAGCGCTTTGTGGCATGGTGTGGAAACAATCATCTGACCTCGAATGTCAACAAAAAAAAGGAGATGATTTTAGACTTCAGAAGAAACAGGGTGGAGTCAAACACTGTTTCCATCATGGGAGAAGAAGTGGAGGTAGTTGAGCAATACAAATACCTTGGAGTTCACCTGGACAACCTGAAAAGACTCAACAAACTAATAAAAGAGGCTGGTTCTGTTCTGGGGACGACTGTGGAACCACTGGAGGAGATAATGCAAAGAAGGATTCTCCAGATAATCAAGAAAATTATGGACAACCCTGAGCATTCTCTTCACAAGACTGTCCGACAACGTAAGAGTGTCTTCAGTCAGAGGCTTCTTCAGTTTCGCTGCAACACTGACCGCTACTGGAGATCCTTCCTGCCAACAGCCATTGTACTATACAATAACTCCTTGATGACTTGATTATTATTATTATTCTGAGCTACCACAGCAATCAATTTCTCTCTGGGATTAATAAAGTATTTTTAATTCAATTGAATTGAAGCAAAATAAGAAGTTCTAAGGTCCAGTTTACGTTAGAAAACATCCTAATACATTCAACATTTATAATGCATTTGGTTTATATTAATTACCTTCACAATAATACTCTGTAGTAATGTGTTGTGTACATTTAACAAGTTCATTCTGTAGCTTAAAACATACATGAAATGATCAAAAGTTAGCACATAAGTCCTGAAAGCTTCTAGAATAAACAGTTACTTTACCTGAAAACGATTGTGAACAAACGCTGCAGATGGAGGTAAAGCTGCTGTAGCTCCTAAATATTCCTGCTCGACTTTCGCTTGCTTTAGCATTTTTCTTTTGCGTGTAGTGGCCGCCACGGCTGTGACGGGACCTATGGGCCACCACAGAGGTGATGGCTAGACTGTCCGAATTCAGAGCCGCTGGGTTCCGGTCTTAGTGATCGAGCAAGGACCCAGCCTTGCTAGACCAGTGAGGACCCGTACTCGTTAGCATCCTGCCCGTGGATTCAGACACACCCATTGTTCTTCAGAGTCCTTCTAGGACTAGGACTACTACTAGGACTTCTGTTTCCATGGAAACTAAAGGCTTGTCTGGAATCTTCTGGAACCTAGTAAAAAGCAGTAGTAGTGCTACAAATTCCCATGCTGCTAAGGGACCTGCTGCTGCAGACATTGATGCAGCTAGATCGGCTGCGTGTACCCCCACAAATTATACATCAAAATGGGTGGCTTGGCCATGGGAGGAGTGCTGTTACTTTTCTAAACAATCCGATTTGCCATTGCAAAAATATTAGCAAGAAACTTCCAAAATTTCCTCAATTTTGGGCAGCTTGAGCTACACTTTCAACGTTTGAGTGTGTGAATTTTTTTACATTTGCATAAAAACTATCTTGTGCCAGGTGGCAGGTCCCTTTTAAAAATTTCTTCAGGAATGAAATTTAATTTTATTTTATTTTATTTTATTTTATTTGACGTATATTCCATCCATTGTATCCTCTCTGGCTTTGATACGGCATGTGTAAGCAGAGAGCCTCCGTCACAGATTCTGTCAGAGTCATTGCTCTTAATCTCCTGCTTTGCTTCTCATCTCTGCAGCCATTAATGGGTGGAACAAAATACCCCGTCTCCTCCTCAGGATATTGCTGCTTGTACAGCTAATCAGGTTGGAATGACTGCTCTACTGTATATGTGTATGTGCAGGAATATCTACACTAGGACAACCTGTCAGCATGTAACTTGAACATCTTTGGTTTTTATGTTTTTTCTGTTCAGATTATCAAATGCCCAATGTATGCATGTCCTATCTTCAGCAACAGCCAGCTTCTTTTGGACACCGATAAGTGTAGCTTAGGAAATGTGCATCTTCACAGGTTTGCCTGGATGTCTGAGGCTAATAAACATCATAAGCCAGTCCCTGTTGGTTGCATTGCCTCAGTTTACAGATAAAGTGGCGGAACTGAACACCACAAATAAACTTAGCTTTATATGCCATCTATTCTATAAAGTTTTGGGCCCAAACTCAATTTGTAACCCAGAAAGCTAGAAGTAGTCATGTTTGTTTGCACACAGCTCTACCTAGAGCTACACCTTTTTTCAAGTTTGGGTTCAAGGTACTATATACTTGAGTCTTTCAGATGCATCATTTACAGTTGCATTATTGAAAGCTAGGACTCAAGGCTCTGAAATAAAAACTCAATTCCAAACCCTGTGAGATCCTGCTAGTTTACCCCAGATGAGGAGCTATTCCTTTTACAGCTGTATACACAAAAGTGTAACAGCATTTTTCATCAGTGTTCGAAAATGTCTTTCATAATTTGGGATTTGGTGGTTTATGCAGAGGTCACCACTGGCCATTAGGGTGTGCTGTGATCAAACCTCGAGGGAAAAGGGTGTTTTCAGGGATGTGCCTGAAGTCACGTACATGTGACTATCCCTCACTGTACATACTGCTGCTTCTCATTTGTATTGCTGCTGCTCAACCATCACACTGCTGTCTATCCATGCTACTGTTCGACTTGTATCTGTAAGTCTTCACCTGCTTGTTAAGCTAATGTAATGGTCACATTGCTAGTATGCATGCTAAGCCGCGCTGCATTTGTTTACCTATTTTATCGCATTGCTTAGCTTTGGCCTTCAGCTCATGCTGCTGCTTCACACTGCCGTTAGCTTCTGCTCACTCAGCTTTGTACGTTGCCGCAGGGCTCCTTCCTCCTTGTCAATAAAGCAATTAGACATCGAGGAGAGTATTTCCTCAGTTTAGGTGGATAATTTGTTCACCTTTTTCCCAAATATATCTAAAAACAAACTTCATGTTTAGAAATGTGATTTCATCATGTTGTTTAAATTGGCTCATGGGACAAGAATCCCCAAAATATTAAAGTTTGTATAGACGCACCGTAGAAACCAGAGGGGGGGGTTTCTTTACGGCTTTGCATGGATGTTTGATTGTGGAATTTTCAAATTAAAATCAGCTTTAAAAAGACCTGTTTTCTGGCAGAAATTTTTCTTGTAGCACATTCCATTTCGAATGTTTAGAACATGTACACTGGGTCAACTAATACTTCCAGTGGCTATTTCAGTTGTAGCCTCGTATATATATATATTTATATATATATATATATATATATATATATATATATATATATATATATATATATATATATATATATATATATAATACTTTTCTTCCGAGTTTCTGCGACTAGCACAGGTAATCTACATTTACAGTACTCATTTGGATGTTGCTATTTTGGATTCTTTTAGGTAAAAGTTTTGAATAAAAATTACCTTCCTATGTTTAATATTTCTGTGTGACAGACTAGCAGAATTGTATAGTTTTGGCTGTTGTTAATGCTGGACCCACAGTATCAGACCCAACACCATAGGAACTTTAGGGTTTCTGAAGTGATGTTTCTGCCTTATAACTTACAGCCACCAGTCAGGCATCAAAGGAATCCTAAATCAGCCTCTGCCTGAGGTGATACTATTTTAAAGCAGCGCCTTATAGGAGTGAGCATCTCACATGTTGATGCACATCTGCAGACCCATCCACGCTCTGTTGCAGAGAATGAGACCAAGCAGGGACATTTCTCAGACTGTCATTCAGTGTCAGATGCATGGATGTAAAGTGAAAGGAACCTGTCAAGCTAACATGGGCCATTTCCCAGCTTCTGCGTCAGCGTTGTTCCCTTTTCTCCCACGCTTTCATTCCTTCACAATGAGGTCAGGACAGATCTGTTATCAGAAAAAAAATGTTCAGCTGTCTTCTGATATGTTTGATGCAATTTTCACCTACTGGTTGTTAAAATGATGGATTAAACTGGGCTCATTCTAATGACTTTTATAGCCGCTTTAAATTGAAACCATCCAGTTTTGTAAGTTTGACATACACACCTTGTTTATGATAAAATCGTGAATGCAGTAAAGGTTTGCAGTATAAATGTGTGCAAAATGAGATTTTTTTTTCACCCAGAAAGCTGAGGCAGCCTGGTGTTGGTTAACGTGATGAAAAGGAATGATTTTAATGTCACTGTGACTCAACAGGGTGTAGTAAATGAGATGGACAGGATGTGGAAGGCTCTCTGGAAAAGGTGTTGCCTTCTTGGAACATGATTTCTCAGCGAATAGTTATTAAAATGTCAGTATTTTAAAGTTGTTACCCACAAATGAAACAGGCACATCCATCCGTGGCATTACTTTTACTCGTTCATTTCACACAGGAGAGAATAACTAAGTCATAAAACAGATTTTTATTTTACTGGATTTTGACTGTTTAAAAAAAAAAGACAAGCATTCAAATTAGCCAAGAAGCTCTCAGTCGTACAGCTTTACCATTCCTAATGTTTAAGATTGGGCGGGGGGCAGATCTGGATTATCCACCAGGGACTCTGGAGCAGGCCCCGGGTTTCCAGAGGTCAACAGGGTTCAGCGATTTTCGGTGGGACTTCCTTGGTTCAGGGAGCAGCCAACAGTGTCAACAACGCCACCTTGGGACTTTCACCCAAGGAAGTAGGTATCAGAAGGCAGATAAGTTCAGCCCACCAAATGAAGCATGAGACGTGGTTCCAAAATTTACAATTGATTTATTTAAAAACATAAAATACATATATAGATGTTTAAAAGTGTTCTGCTTAAAAACAGGGCGACAAGACAAACAGGAAATAAATTGCAGGACTGAGACCAACTGGAGGGAATGGACACACGGGGTGATGAATACCAAAAAGAAACAAGCACAATAAAGTATAATAAAGTCACCCCAGGCAACAGTGAACATTCACTCCAACATGTGTTAGGTATTTTCATTTTCCCATCCAGGGTTACCTGAAGGGAAAGCTCACCATGCAGGGGTGGTATTACCAAGCTGATCAGTTTAATCCATTCTAATCTTAACAATAAGCAATTTAGACTTTGCAAAGTGGAGAGAGAGATAAAATGATACACGAATTGGTGGTCTCTTTGCTCTCGTCCGACAAAAGCCCTCTCAAGAGTATTTATTAAAGACACACAGAAATGTTAAAACGCACACACATTTAGGGAGACAAGCATGCGCTGGCACAGGGCGTTCTTACTGATGAGCCAGGACTGGGAAGAGGCAAGGTCAAACGCCTGTCTGTTGCCAGGGAAAAAAATGGGCTGGATGTTACTTTCGTTTAAAATTATACATAATGTATCCATAATTTATCCAACAATAAGGGAACCCAGCACACGCACAAAACGGGACCGCCACCACCGAGGCCACCACCTCCTGTCCCAGCCGGCACAAAATAAAAGGGGGGTTTACAAAAAAAACAATCGTTTAAAACTACTTAAATAAAACACAGTTGTTTTCCCCTCTGGTCCCATGCTTAGAGTGGGAAAGCCTCCGACACTGTGCAGAGGTCTGTGCGGAACCCACAGGAGGGGGGAGAAACTGGAAAACGGAACGAAGAAAATAACTAAAGCAAAACAGCAGCGCCAACCGCCAGACCACAGAGCACAATCTAAAAGGAAACAGGTACAAGTTAACACTTATATTTTTGACCAAGTCTGGAGAAGGTGAGGCCCATACCTACCAGTCCACCAACTAGCATCATCCTAGGCCGCAAGAAAGCTTCCCCGCCCGGCAGCGCACAGGTATTTAACCTGTCCGAGTTGTAACACAGAGCTTGAGTTGGATTCGTTCAACTCACATGCTGTCCCCTGCAGGAGCTATATACCTCTTCTCCAGTGTTCAGTTCACTCTGGGATGAGCAGTAGCGTCACGCCCAGCACAAAACAAACAAATGCCCAAGCTGTTGATTGCACAACATAGTTTGTGTACGAATCTCCTTAAAACAAGTTGATTAGCCAGTAGAGTACATACCACCAAAGCAGAGCCGATCACCTACTGAGGCACAGTTTAAAGACAGCAGCTGACGCCAGAATGCAGCGTTTCCCTAGCATGCTCCAACAGTGAGCAGAGCTCCCTTTTATACCCACAGCGCCCTCATGAGTACGGAAGCCGGTATGCGCCAACCCACCTAATTTGGAGCAGGCTTGTTTCATCCTGCTACACTTAGTACACCTGGAATAAAGAAAAACAGCTGATTGTTGACTGTTGTTATGAAGCTGGTGTCTCTTTGTTCCAAAGGGGGCAGAGGGGGATTGGTGACTGGAACATCAAAGTCTAAATCCTTCCTCATCCACCATGTTTGTTTGCAGGCTGAAGCCACGGTTGATCATGAGATTTTTTGAGTTATTTTCAATCAGATCGTAATGTTTGTGAGTGAAATTGGTTTGTTGTCTTTGCTGCGCACCACTCTCTGTAGGACCAAAGCTGTGACATGTGTAATGTTATATCTGTGCACGTGGGGTAGTATTTTTTGTGTGTCCTGTCTGGCTGTGAATCAAACAGAATTGATGTCTGAATGCTGGTGACAAGCCTTACAGATTTACTCTCAGGTGGAGCATCAAAGTGTCTGCTTTTAATGTCACGCCTGATACTTAAAACTTTATTGTTATTTTTTTAATGCTTGTAATTCCGACCAGACATGGAGACAGAGGTGAAAGAGAAAGGAAGAGACAAAAGGTGGGGGGTGGGGTGGGGGGGTTCCACAAAAATAAACAATCAATGATGATCAAGAGTCTACTCCTAGACCTGCAGAAAAGGGATACACAACAATACAACAGGAGCAAGCTATCACTGTGTCAACTAGATGAAGAAATATAACATTATTTTACTGAACAATCACACGATAATAAATCACAGTGCATTTAGTGCCAACCACAGCCTTAAGGCGTGTGTTTAACGTGTCCAAGTCCATACTTATGAGAGCACCATGTGAGCACCTGTGTGTACACGCGCTTGTACATGTAAGGTTTCTCTATAGGAGCTTCCAATAGAGTGTGAGGGGCCACAGATCTGCCCCCAAAGATGTGCAGGAGATGGAGGGAGCTCTAAGTCCCAGAGATCCAGGAGCTGCCCCAGAGAACAGGGACCCCAAGGAGACTGCGACCAGAAAAGCCCCTGCCCCCGGCATGGTATCGAAACCCCCACCCCCCACCCCACCCTCCCAGGGTCGGGAAGCTGGAGCCTTCTGCTTGTTGCGTTTCTCTGTTTCAGCAGATCGGCATCAGGCTGAGGAAGTAATAAGACGATGATGATTGTTCTCGATCAACTCTCAGCACCGCCATTTTAGAGACATTGAATCTACTTAGAATTCAGACATAATACGATTTTTTCTTTTACTTAGTTTTTCATTTTGCACTTAAGCCTCATTTTTCCCGTTGGCTGAAAGCCGGAGTAGATTTTGGCTAATGTGTGCTGTCCCTAATGCAGACATAATGGGAAGGCAGCTCTAATGTTGCTGCGCCAACAGAGGGAAATGTCAGGGTTGACACACTCAGGCTTACTGGGACTGTAATTAGCCAAAACACAGGAAGACTGCGCAGCAGAGGACAGACACGATGCCCAGGAGTACGACCAAAACAGAAATTCAGAAAAGGGGAGCAACACAATGACAAATTTATGCCGAGACCATCTCAGCCGCCTTTAATGCAAATGTACGCCGGCTCTTTTGTCAATCAAAGGCTGCGAACAAAAGAAGATTCATCAATTTGCCACACCAAATTACCCCCTGCTTTTCTCTAGCCTCACTCTCCTCCTCGCTCCACATTAACCTCAATTGTCTCAACACGAAGGCTCTTTGCCTCATTTGCATACTCATCCATGGAAATTAAAACAAGTATTCTCTTTATTACTTTATTATGCTCTGTTAATAAAATAGCAATTAGGAGGAGATAATGATTTAGTGAAAATTCACAAAAAATAATGGACCTCTATTTAAGGTATTTGCAGCTGATTGTGGCTGTGATGGCATCCGAAATGGTCAGGTACAAGGAGGCCTTTTCACCACTAAGGGGTGGCCTAACACACACACACACACACACACACACACACACACACACACACACACACACACACACGGAGGCAGGAGAGAGTACTGCTGATTTTTTTTTTTTTTTTTTTTTTTTTTTTTTGTATTTATGAAGAGTAATGCAGATTGATGTGCAGAGGCCTGGCCCTCTCTCAGCTGCTGGCGCTGGTAATTGCTTCTATCCTCCTCCCAAACAGAAGTAGCTCAGTCAAAGCAGGAGAACATGATTCCAGCAGGACAGCATCCCAGAAACGCTCCAGAAGAGCCACTGGAATGTGCTGCATCCAGTTAGGAGCTTGACATTAACCCTGAATCCTGACAGGATGAGTTTCCCACTTTGTTCCGATCTCTTGGTCTTTGCAGCCTCAGCCGTTGGGAAATTTAAGGTTTTCAGGCCAACGTCAGACTTTAATCTTTTTCAGCTACAACTTTAATGAGTTTTCATCTTCCTCACAGATCATAATGAGCCTGAGAAAAACAGGATTTAAGGCTGCGAGAGAAAAAAATTTCCATTTGGAGTACACTGCTTTTGAAAAGGTCGGGTGTCATGAAGATCATTTTGGTGGAGAGACCTGTTTCTGACACATTAGCTTCAAACTTTAACCTCTCGTGTTAAAGGTGGGGGAGGCGGTGTTTGGGATGACAGCAGACCTGCGCTTAGAAAATATAAAACAGTGTGTGTGTGTGTGTGTGTGTGTGTGTGTGTGTGTGTGTGTGATATTATGTCTCCATGTGGTCCCCGTCCTCTGTTACCATGGCGTCCGTCTCATCCTCCTCATCTTGTTCCTCTTCCCCCTCACTCCTCTCTTGGTCCAAACAATTATAATATTTATAATTTTAACAATTATAATAATTAGAGAAGGCATATTCTTAAATATTTGACACTCTGTGTAACAATTTGTGAGCTAATTTGTGTTTTGTGCATCAAATGTAACCGAAAATGAAATTAAATAAAGCAAAAATAAAACGTGTGTAAATAAAAATGAAACCCCACTACCAGACAATAATAGTGATAATAAGTGTTTCTTTATTATAATTAATAATATTATTAGTAATAGTATATATATATATATATATATATATATATATATATATATATATATATATATATGTGTGTGTGTGTGTGTGTGTGTGTGTGTGTGTGTATTTGTAAGTGTATTAAAGTAGTACACATTTAAATGGTTCTAAGAAATTTTACTGATTGTTTTATTTATATGAATTTATTAAGACCTTACATTGCAAATGCTTGCTAACACCATTAAGATGGGCTGACAACCTTCAGACACTAAATCATGTTTTTAATGCTGATAAAGAGTTTATAGCTTATTAACTCCTGCAGGAACTTACAGCCCACAGCGTCAGATGTGATACAGGGCTGTGTGGACACTTCATCAGGTGGCTGTTATAAAACACACCTCTGCTTTTACTTCTGCTCCCCCACCGCTGACCTTTCACCCCACCCTTTCATCAACTCCACAGCAAAAAGAGACGATCGTTAATGTTTGGATGCAGAAATGCTGAACTGACTGCTTCCCACTGTGTTCCATCACTTGCTGTTGATATTGTAGTTCTACATTTTAATCTATCCACCGAAGGACGCTCTCCTTTCCTACCAATAACACACCCCAAACACCAGTTGGAACAACCCACCTTTCTACTGCCGGAGCTGTGGTGGAGGATGTTTGTGGTTGAAGGAGGATGACTGGACTGGAAACCAGTCTTCTAAACTATAAAAACTGGAACATTGTTGTCAAGCAAATCTCTGCATGGCAGCAAATCCTTTGTTTAGCTAAATGCAAACACACTCCTGGAATGTACTCTTGGACAGCATTTGATTAGTGGATCCAGTGCCAGAGGATGTTTTGAATAAACTTTGCAGATCATTTGAACCAAAGACTGTTTTCCATCCTTCATGCAGAAAAACAAGCCACTTAGTCCCAACCTGGTCAGACTAACCAGAGGAGTCAAGAAGACTTCTATCTGTGCTCCAAACATGGCCTTAAATCAAGATGAGCATGCCAGTCACCAGGCACTCTCCCTTATTAACAAGTGATGGTTTTACTGCCCTGCAGTCTTTGTCATTGGACGAGGATGAAAGTGCACAGTGACTACACACGCACTCTTAGAAAGCACACGGCTCCGGGAGCCCACACGGAAACAAACACCAAAGCACTAGAGTCATGCTGGGCCAATCAGACAGAGGAGGAAGAGGAGGGAGGAAGGGCCATCCACATGCTACTCTCTGCCGCAGGTGTTACACAAGGACAGGCTGAATCGGCTAATGATCAACAAATCATGACAAACTGCACAGCTGACTGACCTGCCAAACAACAACAAGCCCAGCTTTCAAAGGGCTATTTAAATGTGGTTTACTTGGCAAAACACACATTTTTCTGTTCTTTGTAAGCTGCTAGTCCTCATTTTTGTTTTGAACTATAAACCCCAAAAACCGAGTTAGCTGATTATCTTCGATACTTTGTTAGATAGCTTGTTTTATTCTGGTCGGCTACTTCAAATGAAGTCAGCTAACGTTAGCTTAAAACTCATGATTATACATAAACATTTAGTCATACCGTGTATTCATGCTGATTCTAAGTCCCTGTTTGAAGGTTATTTTTAGGTCTAGGTGTAAAAAAATTATGCAAGAATGTACAAAATGTAGTGAAAACTCATTTTTATTTTTATAAAATGCTGAAAATGTCCAACTGTAGCTACAAATCTATGAATGAATTACTTCACAATAGGGAGCCTAAGCCACGCCCATCTACTTTCAGACCATGGGTCCCTGCTGTCAGAAAAATGAATGGGAGTATAGAAGAGCATGAAGGGTCTTTTCTGTTCCATTTGTTATGTGTCATGGATTTCACAAATGATGTCCGTGAATGTTAAAGACACATTCTGATGCCCCAAAGGTGCTTATTTTCAACAGGTAATTTTAGATTTAGTGGGAAAAGACGTTTAGGACTACAAATGTTCGTCTCACCTAATAAATCTGATAAATCTCTAAGTATTTGATGGACATAGACTCACATCAGCAGTATTCATTTACATTTAAGTACAACATGTGTGATTCAGAGCATATGGCAAAGTGGATTAGAAAAATAATTTTATGACCTGGGTCAAAAGGTCATAAAACACCCATGATCTGACCAGAAATGGGTGGAGCCTTAGGCTCCTGTCTATGCCACAGACATGTTTCCCAACTATTTAATAATGATAATAAAAATAATAAATTGCATGTT